GCCAGTTGAGTCTAGCTCTTTTCTTTTGAGGGTATAGAAGCAAGGTCTCATGTAGCATAGGCTGTCCTCAAACTGTCTTATGTAGCTGAGGATGACCTTGAAACTCCCAGTTGTCCACCTCCACCTCATAAGTGCTAGAATTACCCTATGCCACCAGCACACCCTGAGAGTCTAGTTTCTTTTGCCCAGCAGCATCTTTCTGAAATTCAGCCATGTTGTTTGTTTCAGTAATTTGTCTTCTTCTAGTCTCCAGTATGAGCTCAGCAAGTTTGCTCATCAGGACAAGTCTAGAGTTCTGTGAGGCTTGAAGCTGAAACTATTTGGGCGGGGGCTCTCTGTAAAAGAATTAAGAAATTAAATTACCAATATAAAATTAGGTATTAGGGCAAACAGGTTTTGGGGGGTTTTGTTTCTGTTTCTTAGGATGGTCCTTCTGTGTAACCAAATCTGGCAGAGTGCTAGTGATACTGACAGAAGCCAAGAAATTACTTTGAATAAGAAAAAGGATCCAATGGACTCTCATATGAACATTTGAAAAATTGCCCTGTTCTGACTTTTTTCTAATTCCCTATCTAGAACTTGTAATGCTAATTACTCTTGCCTTTATTTCTCCTTCACATCTCCTATTCATGGTTCATGGACAGCCTCTCTGACCTCTGTGGGCATTGTACAACACAGGTGAACTTATATACATGCAGGCAATACACTAATACACATAAAATAATAAATATTTTTTTTAAAAAAAGAAGTCATGTTCAAAATAATGAAGGAGGCAGGAGGGTTGGCTATGGCTTCCCAGAGTTTTCCAAGCATGGAATAAATCAAAGCAAAAAACGTAAAAAGAGAAAACCTGCGCTAGAAAGACAAGCTGAGCCCTCTGTGAATTTAAATATCCAATATAATAATGAAACATGGAGATTGATACCACTCAGAAGAGGGTAAATGTTAGAAACATAAATATTGTGCTTAACTATGTAATTAAGTGCAGTGGGTAGTGAATAGCAAATGATAAATATGTGTTGATTGCTTTATTGTTCATAGCAAGGAATCAATAAGCAAATCTATATCCAATCACAGTGGCATAATCAACATTGTCATTTGACCTGACCTTTAAAGTTCTTCATGTCTCATGTCACATTCTTTTTGTCAAAATATTTACATACTCTGTTCCAAAGGCCAAAAATGTCAAAAGTATTTGGGAGCTTGTATCTAATCCTTAAAAGATTTTAGGGTTACCTCTTCAGAGCGGGGGGGATGTTGGAGGGGAGGGAGTGGGCATGGATTTGATCAAAACACCTTATATGCATGTATGAAATTCTCAATAAAGTTTTTATAAAAATTGGAAAAAAAAAGAAAAAGGGTTTATGCCTGAAACCATGTCAACTGTAATTGCTGCTGTGAAATGGTGGTCTTAATGGACTGTGATAAATTTTGTCTTTTACAAACTTTTAAAGAACATCTGTCTGATCCCATTACCAGCATCCCTCTGAGGGCCTACATTCTGGGAAATAGAACTTCAGATACTTAGATAAAGGCAAGTGTTGAGAAAAAGAAATGTTTCAATTGGTACTGTTGCCATGGGTCAAAAAAGGACATTGTACTTGCCTCTTTGTTTGGAAAAATTCAACCAATCCCATCTGGTTTTGTGGTTTTTAAAGTCCTGAGGGAGTTGGGGAAATGCAGCGCTGTCATAGTGACTCCACTTCACAGGCTAAATGATCTACAGGGACTGAGTGGGACAGGGCTGGCGTCACCTCACATCCCTGCAGTCCTGTGGAACCAGGGTTCTGGAGCCAGGCTGGCTAGGTTGGATCTTTGTACTTTATTTCAATATTCTCTTAATGGAAATCACAGAACTAGCATCTTTATTTCAGAAAATCAATTTCCTCTTTTGGAATCAAAAAATGTCACAGTCTAAGGAAACAACTAGTGTACTCAACCTACAGTGATGAGATGATCTCATTTTTATGTTAAAAGCTTCAGAAGATGAAATAATTTTTTTGGAACAAGAAGTAACTCAGATTTGAACTATTTGGTTAACAGGGTATTTATTTTAAGTATTTCTTATGGGTATGAGTCTTTCAAATATATTATTTATTTCCAACTAGATTGGCCAGCTATACACTATATTCTACAGCTAACAAATTCTAGGAAATAGAAACTATAAAGTTCAGAAATTTTGTTAAGATCATTATTTGATCCTTAAGTGCTTGTAGGATTGATCCTCCCAATTATTTACTTGTAGGTCATTCTTTTTACTTTAAATTACTGTTAAAGCTAATACTAGCATATGAGGATATTCATATAAAAGATTTAATATTTTCATAACAGCTATATGTTACTTCTATAGTAAAAAGGTAAGTAAAACTGCATACATATATACATACATGCGTGTGTGTGTGTGTGTGTGTATGTGCGTGTGTGTGCTTTTTAATTTCAATCCAAACCTGAGTTGGTACTTTAGGCACTCATGCAGACTCTCAGAAAGTACATGGTTCAGACAAAGAGACAGAGAGAAAGCCTAACATTTATTCAACACCAGTAGATACCTTGAGGTAGAATAAAGTTGTGTACTAGTCTATAGGTTACAGGCTAGAAACCATATAGAAAGAATGATCTTGAAAGAAGTGTGGAGACAAGAGGAAGGAGAGGGTCTATGTAGTCATCCACAGCTGAACTGAGGGGTCCCCAATGAAGATGGGCTGGTAGAGAAGAAAAAGGAGAGCCCAGTATACAAGCCAGTGTAAGAATTTTTATATGAAAGAAGGCCTTCAGATTTCTAGACAGTTTTTTTTATTTTATGTAAGCAACTATATCATCGGCAAATAGGGGCAGTTTATGTTCTTCTTTTCCAGTGTTTGTGCCTTTTCATTTCCTTTTCTTGTTATATTATACTCATTAAAACCTATGGCACTATGTTGAACAAGTCTGAGGAGAGCTGACATCCTTGCCTTGTTACAAATCAAGTACAGTATGCAGTCTGTCATTATTAAGTATAATGCTCACTGTTTTTGTTGGTTTGGTTTGGTTGGTTTGTTTTGGTTTGGTTTGGTTTAGTTTGGTTTGGTTTGGTTTGGTTTTTAAGAGAGGCTTTCCCAGTAGCCCCACCTGGCCTGGAACTTACTATGTAAACCAAGCTGGCCTCAGTCTCACAGAGATGCACTTGCCTCTGCCTCCAGAGTGCTGAGACTAAAGGTTTGTGCCACCGTGCCTGGCTTACACTGTAAGTTTTTATATGTGATTTTTTTCAATTTCAGTTCTCAAATTCATTGATATTTTATGATATAACTATAAACTATAGCGTAGATTATCTTGATTTACGTTCCATGACAATTGAGTATATATTCTGCTATTGATCGGTGTATTCTACATATTTGCTCAGATGCTGATGTTTCTTAATTCTGTATCTTTGCTTATTTAATTAATCGTCCTCTCCGTTTTTCAGAGAGGATTGTAAATGTCTGCAACTGAATCATAGGTTGATCTACTTCTTTCATATATATCAGGCTTTACTTCCACATATTTTGTAGCGCCACTATTCGGTACACACATGTTTAGATGCTATGCCCTCTTGGAAGATTCACCCTTTTATCATTGTATAAGGTTCCTCTCAGTCTTCAAGTAAAGTTCTTTGTTATGCAGTCTATTTTTACTTTCCTTTGGCCCGTTCTTCTAACCCTTTGAACTTGCCTGTTTTGTTATATTTGAATTAAGCTTCTTACAGAATCTAGTTAGATCTTTTTAAAAATCCAGTCTATCAATCTTTGTCTTTAAAGTAGTATGTCTAGGCAATTTATTTTTAATATAATGATTGATATATTGAAATGTGAATCTGCCATTTTTGTTTGTTTGATCATGATTTTTCACGTGTTTTCTTTTTCCTGTCTTCCCATGGGTTACTTGAATGTTCTGGGGGATCTCACTTTCATAATTTTAACGCTCATTGTTATGGTTTGGGTATGAAATGTCCCCCATAGTGCAGTTGAGAAGTGGTGCAACATCTGGAAGGTGGGGCTAAGTTCAAAGAAGTAGGTTACTGGGAGGGGTTAAGGTGTGCCCTTCATTGGGATACCTGGCTCTGACGCTCTAGGGGTTAAGCCTGCCAAGACTGAAAATTTTTATACAGTAACTACTTCACTCAAGGTAAGCACTACAGAAAAATCTATGGCCCCATCTTTATCACCAAAGGCCTAGACCTTAACCTAGGTAGGCTATAGTGATGCCCTTAATTCTTCCTCCACCTACAAGGGTGTTTTCACAGATGATCAAGGATGGAGATGGGATTTTCAGCCCTAGATGGGTTTGCCTCATCTACTCTGTAGCACAAATGGAGACCACCTTGGGAGTCTTAAGTTCTAAGTTCTCCTGATCGTAATAAAGTTGTCTTTCCCATCCCACTGGGATAATATCAGAGGAAAAACAGTGGTGAGTTACCACTTGTCCATTTATTTATTGATTTTTTTTTTTAGTTTGTATATAAAACAAGTTAGGACTTTCTACACTGTTGAGTAGTAGTAATGTCATACTTATGCTAGTGTTTTTTGCAGCCTCTGAAGACGGTATACAGACACACAATAAAATATGTTAAAATTTTCAGTCTTGGCAGGCTTAACCCCTAGAGCATCAGAGCCAGGTATCCCAATGAAGGGCACACCTTAACCCCTCCCAGTAACCTACTTCTTTGAACTTAGCCCCACCTTCCAGATGTTGCACCACTTCTCAACTGCACTATGGGGGACATTTCATACCCAAACCATAACAATGAGCGTTATAAGATTAAACATTCCGTAATGCTAGGTGATCTTTCATTTTTCAGATCATAAACAAGACTGGAATCTGAATGCTTACATCTGTCTCCAATTTAGATAATTTCCCTTAAATTCAACTTCTTAGAGGAAGCATTATGAAATCAAGAGATTGAAACCTCTGCAACAGTAGTTCCGAGGTTGCACTAAAAGGAGAGACAATTTTTTTTAATTTTTGTGCTTTCTGTTTCCTAGAAGCATCAGATGGTGAAGAAGGAAGAGATGCAGAAATGACACAGCAGGAAACAACTCCAATTCCTGAGCCATCAAAGAAAACCAAACAGGTGATAGCTACCGTAAGCACCACAGTTGCCGGGTTCTGGAGTCCTCCTCTTTGGCCCTTCTGTAGCATTTCCTTTGCCCTAGCATCAGTTGTTACTGGAACTTGTGAGAATCTTTTACTTTCTTTGCCTATGAAAATACCATGTTTCCTTAATTATAAACCAGGAAGGCCTTTTTTTTAATATTTTTTTTATTATTTTTATTTTATGTGTATGAATGTATTGCCTCCATGTATGTAAGTACGCCTGTATCATGCATTGCTTTCAGAGGTCAGAAGAGGGCATCAGATCCCCTGGAGCTGGAGTTGTAGGTGGTTGTTAGCTGCCATGTGGGTCCTGGGAATCAAACCCGGGTCCTCTGCAAGAGCAGCCAGTGCTCTTAACCACTGAGCCATCTGTCTAGCTCCTCCCCCTGGTTTATTTAATTATATTTTTGCTGTAGAAAATGTATTTCACAGTAATGATAACCTAGATTTTTATATCACATTCTGATTGAAAATTCAGCCTTGTTTGGACATAGTTCCTAAGAGAAAACACATACCATAAAGATACAGAACATCACCATATGCATGCAACTGAGATTACAGTCCCAGTTGGAGAGCCATTACTTCCCTGACACTGCAGCTTACAGAAGACCCTAGGAGTCTTAAGACCTAGTATACCTCCTCCAGACCTCTCTTTGATCTTCCTCCCATTCATTCCTCTCTGAAAGGTTCTCCCACATGGACATTAGAGACCTGCGTGTCTCCTCTTTCTAGACAGCCCACACCATCCCATTGACACTTATGGCTCCCCTGTGTTCTTTGTCCCCCTCTCGTCTTTCTCTAGAAATCATCTCATCACCTCAAGACTTTCTTCTCAGGCACATTGTGCTTTCTAGAATCTTTCTCTACTTATTTATACATGTGGTGCCTGAGTCACCATATGGTTCATAAGTGCCTGAGGGCCACAGTTTCTTCTATGTCCACTACAGTACTGAGCGCTACTGTTGAGCACTTATTTAAGCAGATGTGACTAGATATATATTTTCTAAGTGATTATAATTTTTCTCACATCATAAAAGAGAAAAAGAATGTTTTATGGTGTTAAAATTTTGAATTTTTTTCAAATCTGCTTAGTTGTTGCTCCTTTACTTTTTCTTTAGATGTGTTCAAGAACTGCCTAACATGATGTCAGCTATGATGTACATTTAGGTTTTAATATCGTCAGGTAGGAGCGTCTGTTGAGATTAATGGTATTTACCGTCTTTTCCAGACTGGGCCCCACATTTGTTTTGCTGAGTCCACACCACCAGTGTGTCTCGTATCCTAAGTAACATATTTAAATATTTATACTTTTATATATATTTTTATTTTAATTAAAAGAAGCATTTCATTACAACAGCATTAACCTATTCAATAACATTTTTCTGAGCTAGGATACATCTCTTTCAAAATTGGCTGTACATTTCTAGGTTTACAGATGAATTATTACGCTTATATAATCTTTTACTCATTATAAACTCTATAAGACATAAAATTAAATAAGGTTCCAACGTTTAAAAAAGATCTCCACTGCATTGTCAAAACACACAGTTTCATACAGAAAAATTCATTCCAAGGCAATTGACATTGAGATGTTTTCACATGCATTTCCAATCTCTATATACATGACTATCACTGGTCACAGTCACCCACCTTCTGAGCTCCTCGGCATCTGAGCATGAATACAAACTCGTCAGGTAGACAGCCTTCCTCTCCCACTAGAGCCTCCATACTCTGCTATCCCTGCCACTGTCCACTGTGCTGTCAGCACCCCCATCCATTCCCCCCTGTCTGCCCTTCTGGTAAATCTAGTCAGCCAGAGGTCCCTGTTCCAGGAGATGTTTTTAAGACATGCAAGTGTTATCTCTACCAACCATTTCACGGTATTATTTCTATTGTTGTTCTCCTCCTCCTCCTTCCTCTCTTTCCTCCTCTTCCTCCTCCTCCTTCTTCCTTTTGTATTGAAGATTAAACCTAGGGCCTTGCACATGCTAGGCAGGTGCTGTACCACTGAGCTATATCTCCAGTCCCCATTTCACATCTAAATAAGTATCCTTGGCCTGCTTAATAATTTGACTGTAAAGATTTGCCAGCATTTCTTTTTCTCCAGTATTGCTTCCAAGACCAAATGATGAATTTCCCTACTTTTAGAAATTGCATCACCCTCTTCCCTCCTGGACATCAGTCATTTCAGAGCCAGCCCTGTTGACTTTGTAATTATGGTTCCCAGAATGTAAGCCCTTGCTAGGGATTTCGTGACTTTTCATTACTGCCTGAATGATGTCACTAGCCCTTCGGTGGTTCCATGACCCTTCCCTCCTTTCCCCTGCAGAGACCGCACTACATTTCTTTTCCCTTCAGCTAGGCTTTTGTTTATCCAACGACTGTAAAGGAATCCTCTGCAAGGGTGCATTTCCCATCAACTTGGTACTCTCCATTACTTGCTACTGTAATCTCTTACTGTTTCTGAACATTGTTTTTTTTTTTTTTCATGTTTCTTTCACTCTTTATATCCAAAATCATTCTTGATTCTTGTTAAAACAGAATTATGTCCAATATATTCTAATTATCCTTTCTTTTCCATAAGTGTCTTGAATCTGTTCTTTGTGTCATTCTGTTCTTACATAACAAATTGCACCCTAATTAACATTCTGTTTCTATTATCACTGTTTAGCTAAGTAGCTGTGATGTTACATCTTTCATCAGATGCCACTCAAGTTGTGGACTGAGTAGGTTCTCAAATGGAGAGTCTACCTTGCTGTGGTTGTTCTCAGGCCTCTGTGCCTTTCTTCTTGTGCCTCTCCATGGGGTTCCCTCACAGCTTTGCAACTGGATTTGAAAGGACTAAGCAAGAATCCCCAAGACAAAGGCCAACTCAGAGTTAATGCCTCTTCTGCCATATTCTGTTAGTCCGAAGTCAAAGGAAAGTGTAGCAAAGGGGCATTAGACAGGGATCAGGATGACCAGGAATCATCTAGAAATTGATTTACTCCATAGGCAGAAGTCACATCAATAAATCTTTTCCCCATAAACTCTCTATATTCTGGGCCCTTAACTGAGACATCAGGGAGACCAAACCCTTTAAGTTTCCTACAGGCATATTTGGAAACCAAAAAAGTCTCTGAAGTACACCCCAAATTTTGTTTGCATTCTTATGGGACTGAACAGTATAAAAGTACTTCCTTTAATTCATGGTTTTGTTTTCTATTGTTTTTATTTTAATTTTCAATTTTTTAATGGAACAATCTAGAACAGATTCTTTTATATATTTTATTAATTCCTTGAGAAAACATGCATGCAATTTATTTTTATCACATTCACCCTGCATTTCTCACCAACTTGTCACAGATTCATCCATTCTCTGCCTACCCCCTCCCAACTTTGTGTTGACTGTTTTTTTCATGACCCACTGAATCTAATTTGTGCTGCCTATATAGTCATGACTGTGGGGCCATCCACTACCTGGTCGACCTACCAAGGGCCATACTCTTAAAGAAAACTGACTCTTTCCTCCCCTGAAAGCCATCATCTGTCCATAGGTCCTCAGTTAGGGGTGGGGGCTCATAAACCCCTTCCCTCTCCATGCTAGAGTGTTCCTTGGCTTGACCTTGTACAAGTCTTGTGCAGGCAACCACAGCTGCTGTGAATTTATGAGTCCAGTCATCCTATGACATTCAGAGGATGTGATCCTGTCACATGCAGAAGACTGTTTTGCTCCTTTTTCCTCAACTTCTGGCTCTTACAGCCCTCCCATCCCATGTTCCACAGTGGTTCCTGAGCCTTGGGCAACAAGGGGCGACACTGATGTCATGTTTGTGGCTGAGCACTCTATAGACACTTATCCTCTGTACTTTGACCAGTTGTGAGTTTCTGCATTAACCACCATCCACTGCACAAAGAAACTTCTCTGATGAGATCTGAGAGCTTCACTAATATCTGTAGATATTGAGGCATGAATTTAGATGGCAGTGTGATACTATCTATGTCCGTTTATCAAAATAATGTAGTAGGTTCACCCCTGTGGCCTGTGCACTCCCCAAGAATAGTTTTTAAATTGCATGCCACTCTGAGTAGCATGATGAAATCTCATGCCGTCCTTCACTCACGCAGGGTGTGCATCATCACTTTGGCCAGTGTGTCCATGTTGGGTACTACCTACCCAGCGCTTACTAGCTGTCTCAGTTGTCTCTTGGACTGTGGTGGTGTCACAGTGCTTGTGTTCAAGTAACCCTTACACAGTAGCCTCCCACTATGTCACAGTGTCTGTGTCCTTCACCTCATTTTACATAGATATTGTATCTTTTCACATCTAAGGTAAGAGTATACAGTACAATGAAATTTTGAAAGAAAGACATTTACATTTATATTCTATTTTGTTAGCTGTTTTAGTCTAACTGTGCATAATTTATAAATTAAACCCTATTAAAAGTGTGCATAGAAAAAAAAGTATATCCTGAATTTGGTATTGCTGATGATACCAAGCATCACTGGTGGTCTTAGAATGTAGCCCACCCCTGTTGATAAAGGGACTGTTGAACTATAAGACACCCCCTTTGTTCATATTTTGCAGTTACACCTTGATAGCATTTACAGTCTTCTCAATTTAATTCTTCCCTTTTGTATTTTACTCTAAGCCCCCACATACAAAAAAATAGGTGATTCCTTCAACACTATTTCAAAATCTCCTGAGCTAAATCACCCATCACGTTAGAAACCCTTTCTAATTTCTAGTAAGATAATTACATTGTACAACCCCTCACTCTCAGTATCTTCGAAGTCAACGATTTAAGGGCCAGTATATTTAGGCCCCTATCGATCAATCACCTTTTTTGTACACATTTCAAAGTTTGCAAAATCATTACATTCTTCCTAGGTTCTTCAGCATGCGCTTCAGTTAGTACTGTTTAATCTTTGTTTTAGAATTATTGTGCTGGTAGAAGCAGGATGCTATCACAAACTCCCACCCCTAGAGCAGCTATTGGCAGTTGATGG